TCAATTTCCCTTTCTTAAAACAACCTTTTCAAAATGGAAGTCCTCATCATCCCTCTACTTCTTCTTTATTAATTTAACTTCTCTTTTATTTTCTTCCACTCTTTTCTCTTCATATATTATTTCCTTCATTCATTATTATTGTATATCCACCCTTTTTACTGTCCTATTTCTTCAAAAAAAAAAACTTTAATACACAACTATTCTTATTTCTTTTTGTTTTATTTATAATCTCATTCACTTAATTCCACTTTTGTGATTCATCATTCTTTTCATTCCATCTTAGTCCAATTATTGCTTTATAACATATCTTTATACTATTACTGTCTATATTTTCTATTTTGATTATAACATACTCTATGATACACTTTCAAGAGAGAAAATAACTCCATCAAATCAACAAATTAACGGTAAAGATTCTCCACATTAACAATTTGTCTAATGATATTCATTAAACCATATCTAAATTTGAATGAAACAATGCCATAACTAAGACAAATGTTTTATTCGTAGTTAAGTTAGTAACTAATACTATATAATCCCATCTTCTGTAGTCAGAGTGTAATGACAAGAAACAATTGTTAATAATCGTTGATGAGGAAGAAAACTAGATATTAATTCTAAAACGTATAAGTTAATTCTAATTAAAGTCAATCTCATCAAAATGATTATCAACCATTATTTATGAAACTAAATATCATTCTTCATTTGTTCATAAATGAGTTATTATCATTAAATGATTTTATATTCATTGTTTTATTAGAAATAAAAGTTGTTGGTGTAGTACCACAAAAAAAGACACATACAAGAAGAAGAACTTACCCCTCTTTCCTTAGTCAACTTATTATTGTTATTCTTTTGAGTAACAAAACTAATACTACACCTACTACAAGAATAAACAAAAACCTCATCTAAAAAAGTGAAAAACTAAAATCATTGTAATTAAGAAGATAATTTAAAATATGGAAAAATAACTTAGACTTGATTTGTCGGAGAATGTGCTAAAGAATCTTCATGGACTTCAGTCAATAATTCACCCTCTTGGTCTGGTTGTTCATCATCAACCTCTGGTGATGCTTTGTCGTATTGACGATATTCATTAACAAGATCAATAAGATCAGCAGTAGCTTCACTAAATTCACTCTCTTCCATACCTTCTTCTGTGTATAAATGTAAGAAAGCTTTTCTCTTGAACATAGACAAAAATTGAGAATTTACTCTTTGGAATAAATCCATAATAGAAGTAGAATTTCCAATAAATGTTCCTGACAAATTTAGTCCTTTTGGTGGAATATCACAAACAGCTAACTGCATGTTATTTGGAATCCATGGGACAAAAGCATCTGGATTTTTTTCTCTTATTTTGTATAATTGTTCCTCTACATCATGAGTTGATACTTTTCCTCTCATAATACATGATGCAGTTAAATACTTTCCACTAGCTGGGTCTAAATCTACCATCATATTCTTTCTATCAAACAGTTGTTGAATAATTTCTTGTACACTTAAGCTTTCATATTGCATTGAAAGTGCACTTGAAACTGGAGCAATAGATGATGAGAAAAAGTGAAGTCTTGGATATGGAATCATATTAACAGTTAGTTTCTTTAAGTCTTGATTTAATTGACCTGGGAATCTCAATGAACAAGTAATTCCAGACATAACTGAAGATATTAAAGAATTTAATGATTCGTATGATGGTTTTGGTTCTTTCATAATGTCTGAAGCAATTTTAAATAATGCTTCATTGTCAAAGCAAAAAGTGACTCCAGAAGATTCAAGTAATTTATGAACTGACAATGTGCAATTATATGGTTCTACAACAGTTTCACTAACAGTTGGAGATGGAACTACTGAGAAGGTTGAAATAACCTTTTCAAAAAATTCATCTTTTAATTTACTTAATAATAATGTTCCAAGACCAGAACCTGTTCCTCCTCCAAGTGAATGAGTAACTTGGAATCCTTGAAGACATTCACAAGCCTCTGCTTCTTTTCTCACACTTTCCATGATAGTTTCACAAATTTCAGTTCCCTCAGTGTAATGACCTTTAGCCCAATTATTTCCAGCTCCACCATGACCAAAAATGAATGAGTCTGGTTTAAAGAAATGTCCCATTTTACCAGACTTAATAGTGTCAAGAGTACCTGGTTCTAAATCAACATTAATTGATCTTGGAACATATCTTTTAGTAGAACTTTCACTAAAATAAACATTTAGTCTTTGTTGTTGTAATTTATTTCCATTAAATATACCATCTGGAGATAATCCGTGTTCTTGTCCAATAATATCCCAAAACTTCTCTCCAACTTGATTTCCACATTGCCCAATCTGGAGGCAAATGATTTCTCTCATAATTTCTCTGATTATTGAGTTTCAGTATTTCTTTTTTAATCTTTTTTTCTTGAAAACCCTCAAACAGAACTCTTTATTTTACTTTTTCATCGTTATTTACTCTTCTTATTTTTATAGTTTTTTACTATTTTTTGTTATTAATTTACTGTAAATAAAGAAATGAGATTATGAGTTTTTGGAATTTAGATTTGATAGGAGATTTTACTCACTTTCTTTTAAGATAACAAAATAATAAAAAGAGACGTTCAAAGAAATATATAATGTTTGTTTTATCACACGAGGAGAAAAGAAAAATAACTAAGAAAATGAGAGAAGTGAATTTAGACAAAGACAAATTCATAACCTTTAGCTTTTAATGCGTCACCAAGAGCTTGTTTATGGTTTTTATCAGCAACTTCTACTGAGAATCTGATGGTACACATTCCAATACCTACATTCTTTTTAACTTGGAAATCATATAATTGAGCTTTTTGTTCAGCAATAATACTAACTAATTCATTGAGATTAATTGGTGAATCTGGAGCAGTAACTTCTAATTTAAGTGAACGTTCACAATTAATTAATCCAAGATCAATAACAGTATTTAATAATCTCATATTAACATTACCACCAGAAACAATAACTGCAACTTTTGAACCTTTTTCAATTGGAAGTTTTTTAGAAAGGAGACCAGCTAAAGCAACAGCACCAGCCCCTTCAATAATAACTTTACATCTCTCCATTAATAACATCATAGCTCTTGTGATTTGGGTTTCATCAACTGTAATAATATCATCAACATAAGATTCTATCATGTGAAGAGTTAAATTTCCAATAGTATTAACAACATCAGTTAATTCATTATCTTCATTTTGATGAGTTCTACAAAGAACATGATGTTTTTTAGAAAGATAAGCTGAAGACCCTTTTTCATTTTGAACACCATAAACTTTAACTCTTGGGTCAAGGGTTTTAACAGCTAAAGCTAATCCACAAAGTAAACTTCCTGATCCAATTGGTGCAATAATAGCATCTACATCTGGTAAATCTCTTAAAATCTCAAGACCAACTGTTCCATCACCAGCAATAATAGAAACGTCATCACGAGCTTCAATGTAAGCAAGTCTTTTTTCAGTTGACATTTCTTTGGCATAAGCTTCAGCTTCTGCAACAGTAACTCCATGTAAAATAACAGTAGCACCATATCTTTTCATTGTTTCTGCTCTTCTTGGGTTTGTAAAATTTGGAACAATGATAGTAGTTGGAACACCTAATTGTTTACCACAATAAGCAACAGCCATACCATGATTACCACTTGAAGCAGCAATTACTCCTCTTTTCTTTTCAGCAAGAGTTAATGAATTAAATTTGTTCATAACACCTCGTACTTTAAATGAACCACTTTTTTGCATATTTTCTAATTTAAAATAAACATCCATTCCAATATCTGCTGAAATGCTAGCATTAGAATCTAATGGAGTATGATGAATGTGATCACTAATAACATGTTTGGCTGTATAAACATCAGATAAGAAGATTTGTTCTAAAACTTGTTCGTCTCCTTCTCCAATATGAATCTCACTAAAAGAAGCATCTCTTAGAGCAAGTGCAGGAACTTCTACGTCACTCATATTACTATTCAAATGTTTTATACAAATTTGAGATGTTTTTCCAATTTTAAATTATTAGTTTATGTTCCACACCTTCCATCTCTTCTTTTTTCTGAATTATGGAACATTGTTTATTTTAATAGAAACTTTCAGAATTTATCAGAATTAAACTCTTTTACTCTCTTTGTTTGATAGATTTTTATTTTTTCATTTTTGGTTAGACTTTACTTTTGTTTAATTTTTTTCATTTTTTATTTAAAAAAATTTTATAATAGTAATTAATAGTATTTTTTATTATTAATACTATATTCCCTTAAAACGAAAATAAAGAAGAAAAAAGAAATTTAAAAAAGAATTTTAGAAGATTTTACTTCGTTTATGTTTGGATAACCTTTATTATTTTTGTAATTCAAACAGTATTATTTTTATATAATTTATTAAAAGATTTTTTAAGTGAGCTTTTATTAAAATTAAGACATTTTCTTTAATTATTAATGTCAAAATAATGAAATAGGTATTACTTTTAGAAGGAGGAAACAAAGTAAAATATATATAATAACATTTATTAATAGAAATATTAAAATTAAACAAAGAAGTAGTACTATATAATATGGTTGTATATTTAATAATATTTTATATAACACTTTTAATGTAAATACAATTATAATTTTTTTTTTGAAAAGAATATAATATTATATAAAACAAACAATAAGATTATTTAAATTCTACCTTGAAGAAATTATTTTGTTTTCGTGGATATAGAAATTTAACTGTTTTAATAGATGTTATGAAATATTCTTCTAATAAACAAAAATATTTCAATTAATAAAATAGTTTAATTAATAAATATTTTTATTAAGTTGATAATTGAACAATTAACCAATTATTATTCTCTTATTTAAAAATGATCTTTTTGATAAATATCTTTCAATAAAGAAAGAATTAAAAACATCAAAAAAGTAGTATAAATTGTACTTATAAAAAAATATTGTTGTTATTTAAAAAAAGAAAAAAAATAAAAACTTGAAAAAAATAAGAAATCCAACTCTACGTTGTGAGATGATTATTAATGGAACTTCTTTTGAAGAGTTATATAATGGACTTCGAAATCGTGGTAAAGACAAAAAAACAATTCAATTATATGTATCACCTACAGTAGATGCTATTGTATGTTATAAAATCTTATCAATGATGTTTGAAAAAGATGGATTATTACATTCAGCAGTTCCAGTTAATAATTATGAAACATTGTCAAGAGTCTTTAAAGAAACCATTGGACATACAGATGTTCATACAGTATTTTTTATTGACTGTGCTGGTTCAATTGATGTAAGTGAATTACTTGGAGATATAGAAAATATTTTTGTATATATTATTGATTCACACAGACCATTTAATAAATTAAATGTAACAAATACAAATATTGGATTAATTACATCAAATGAATATCAACAATTCATTGAACAAGAAACACAATTAGAAAAATCTGATTTACTTGAAGTTGATGATGATTTAATAGGATTAAATAAAAGTCAATCATTTAATAATTGTGAATATATAAGAAAGATGGTTGATAGTGATGGAGAATTTTATTCAGAAAGTGTAGGAAGAGTTGCACTTGCAATTGCAAAAAAATTAAATAAAGTAGAAAATGATATGTATTGGTATGCTGCAATAGGTGTGTGTGATCAATACATTTCATTAAAAATTAATGCTAAAACATATGTTCACGCTATTCAATATTTTATTGATAATTTACAATTAGAAACTCTAGAAATAACAGACCTTCTTCAAACAGTTAAAACTCCAATGTGTGTAAAGATGGATTGTCAATTAATGTTATTACGTCATTGGACTTTATATGATTCATTGTTTCATACAAGAGAAATTGCTTCAAAACTTGGAATATGGACAAGTAGAGGGAAAGAAAAATTCGATGTTTTAATAGCTGATATGGGTATTCCATTATCTCAAGCTCAACAAAGTTATAAAACAATGTCATTAGAAATGAAGAATAAATTTTTATTAAAGATGGAAGGATATTCTAAATTCTATCATTTTGAAAATTTATTTCTCCCTTCTTTCTTTAAAAAATTTGGAATGGATTATTCTATTAGTGCTTTTGATGCTGCACATGCTATAGGGTCAATCATCACTAATGATGAACCTGACCAAAATTGGCAACAACAATTCTGGGAAGGTTTTAAATTATTGTCTAGTACTACTGCTGAGCCTTATGACTTTGGATTCGCCAAATGTATTGAATCTAATAAAAACTTAGTAGAGACAGGAATTATTTTATTATTGTCTGGATCTTGTTTTAATGAAGCAAATAAATATCGATTTTGTTCTGTTAGTGATGAGTTATTATCAATTCGGTTTAAAACCCCTTATAAAGCATTACAACTGGCTCAATTTCTTGCAGAAGCATCATCGAGAAGGTATAAGAAATGGTTACCTTTTATTCTCGCTGTCCTTGATGCTGAGAAAAAAACTTTTGTAATAGTAGGATACAGCTCACCTATTTCTGTTAAAACTCTAAATTATTTTGGGGCTAAATTCACTCAAACAGCTCAAAATATGAAAATATCTATTCTCCAAAAAAGTTTTGATTCATTTGTAACAGAAATTCATAGAGAAAACCTTGTGAAATATAAGAAAGCTTTGCACAAATGTTTTACTTCTATTTGAGTTGGTTTATTGATAAATTTTTTCTGTTTTATATAACGAAAATAAACCAAAAATATTATAAAAAGCATCACCATATCACTTGCTATTCTCTTATTTGATTAGAAGAAATAATGACGACAAATGATTACAATAAGAATTAGGACTACCGCAAAAATTAAAATCAACCACTTATTTCTTTGGACCATCTTTTTAAATTTAACTGCATCATCACGATATGATGCAGTCTCAAATACCAAATCATCACTCTTTTTTGACATTTCTATTAGTGTAAATTCCTTCTTTAATTCTTTTGTAATATTAAGACTACAAACGTTTTAATTTCTCATCTCGAACAAGAATATGTTCAAGGGTTTTAGAGGCAATATCTTGGATATCCTGTAAATCTGCATTTGCACGTTCAAGGTTGGTTCTTTGAAGTCGACTAGTCATGATAATTAAGGAATAAACTTGGAATAATGAGATCTGAGATTTACTAATGGAAGAACAACATAATGATGAAATGATGGATATCATTCTACAATCTGTTGGACCAAAAGATTTTGGCTTATTAATGAATAAAACACAAAACTATCAAATTACAAAACGAGTATTATCATCATATGAGTTGAATGAAATGATTCAATATGAGAAGGTCCAAAACGAATTTCAAAAAATCAAAGGGGATATACATTCAGAACAATTACTATGGCAAAAAATATTAAATTCTAAAACACTCTATCAAGTATCTGAAATAAGAAGAAATAGGCTTCCTAATGATGAAATGGCAAAAGAGTATAGTATTCAACCATATGAACAGGATTACTTAAAACATGGAATAAAAATTCATAAAACTCAGACTTCAATTATTAATATTACTGGAAATGGAAAATTAGCTCATATGGGAATTAATAAAGGCATTGAACAAAATGAAGTTACATGGAAAGAAAATGAAAGTAATGATAATGATTGGATTAAGACTCAAATAAAATGTAATAAAGAAGATGATTGGAAACAATATATTTTGGAAAAAAAATATTTAGAAGACATAGAATTGAAAAAACGAATGAGTATTATTGGTAGTCCAATCACAGACATTAATGTACAAGAAACAATTGTTGATTGGAATAAAATTATTGGTTGGTGTGAAGAATGGAATAAAATAGACATACAAATGAATAATAAAGAAGGACAACTAAATGAAATGAATAAGCAATTATGTTTTAAAATGTATTCAATAGTTCAACAACTTGTTATGATGTATTGGAAATCAGATGAAGAAAGAAAGAAAAAATTAAAAACATTGATAGATAAAACTACCAATCAAATTAATGTTTGTTTATTGCTTTTAATATTTTCATTTTATGAAAATTCACATGAAAGGAAAAATTAATACTGTTTAAAGACAATCAAGAAGTTATCTCTATTTTTCAACAAATGAACACAATTATAACAAAAGCTCTCTCTCATTCTTAAATAATTTATGTTTTAATCTTGATTATTTAAGTTTCATTATTATAACAAAGGAATAGTAAAAACAAAAAAAAGTTAATATCTTGAAATTTCTTATTGAAACAATTTCTAATTATCTCTTTTTAATAATTATTGTATATTTTTAATAACTTGTAAAAATAAAGACAAAAGATTGAATAATAAAAAAGACTATAATTGTATGTACATTTCTAGAGTTGATAGTTAAATGTGTTATCATCTGAAAATTCTTCAGAGAAATCATTTGATTCAATCTGAGTTGGTGACGTAAAATCTACATGGAAATTAGAAAAGTCAACTGAGCCAAATGGAATTGGATTAGAGTCAGGAGGAGGACAGCCAAAATGAATCTTTTGTTGTTCTGTTAAAATTTGTCTGTTCATTTCAAAAGATAATGAAGAAGGAGTAATAACAGAAGAGTTAGAACTTAAATTGTCAAAGTGTATTTGCTGTTGGGGGATTGGTCGAGCAATTGTAATTTCTTGTATTTCCATAATGTTAATATACTTTTTGAGTTCTTTGAATCTTCTTTTTCTTTCTCAATGTTTTTTTCATTTTAAGATTAATCACTTATCAATAAAAAATGTATTAAGGTTATATAAAACAAATATTTTATTAAGTAAGTACAATAGGATGATTTGATGATTTTATTTTATGACGCAATACAGGGGAACATCCATTCAATGAACTGTACATGATTTTTGTTTTGTTGTTATACATTCCATTATGCCAATCTGAGAAGCACGTTCTTTGAGTACATTGATCTACTGTTGTATTTAGTTTTTTAAAGGCATTAGTATAATATAAATAATTTAATGTTGCTTGTTCAATTCCCCAAAAAGAAAGTTTTTCTTTACGAGACAATAACGAGTCTTTCATTATTCTTAAAAATTCAAATATAGGTTCAACACCTCCAAGAACTACACCAGCATTTAGACTAATATATTTATTTTTACAAAATTGATTTCTAATTTCTTTATTAAATCCTTTCTCAAGCCATTCATCGTTATAAGGATATCCAGGTTGACCAAAATAATTACAACGAGTTTCATTATTTTTTATACCATAACACTGAGTTGAAAATACTATTTCTTGACTTGAGAATGTAGAAAAAATATCACCAAATATGAAAACATCTCTAATGTCAATAATTAATATTCTATCAAAGTTCTTTTTATATTTAAGTAAATAATAATAATATTCTATATATCTTTGATTTACAGGATTTTCATTGTTAATTGGTTTTTGAATAACTTGAACCTTATATTTATTAAATTCTTTTTGAAGGTCTTGTGGTGGCGGTTCTTTAAAATTAATCATTACTTTTGTTGCAAATGGAATACTATTACAAGTAATTCTTAAAGCACGTACTAATTGAGGTTTATTTCTTTTCCATTGTTCAGCATTATATCCAATCCCATAAAATAATAAATCTCGTGAGTTATGTCTTTTATATTTAAATATTTTTCCACAATCTCCAGAATAATTGAAGTTACTTACATTAAAGAAATTGTCATAATAATTTGACTTATATAAGACAGGATTATCAATATATTTCATTATTGTATTTTGATTATTCAAACATACAATACAAAATAAGAATAACAATATTATAAATAATGATGGTAGTATCAAGAATATTTTATTCATTAAAATATGTGAAGTTCTTTCATTATTTCTATTTTCTGTTATTTCCATTTGATCTTTAATTTTTCTATTTTTTTATATAAAAAGGTATATAAAACATTTTTCTTATCTATAACAATTCAAAAAGTAAATTATGGTATTATCTTCACCTCTCTTTTTTAAAGGCAACAAGAGTTTTTTAATAAGATATGGTAATAACAAAACCAGATAAAAGGTTGTAAAATTACTTAAATTCAAGAGGAAATATCCAATACAATATATTTGGTCCTAATACTTTCTTAAAATTACTAAAACGAATTGGTGGATGATGAACATCTTCATTGTTATGTTCTTTTGTATTTAACTCTCCTATTTCTACACCTGATAACCCATAAAGTATATCTCTTGTATGAATATATAACATTAAAATCATTAGTGCTGTGATTGAGAAAGAGATACAAGTCATCATTATGACAAAATAATAAAGTAATCCTATCTTAAAACTGAATGGAGTCCAAATGTTTGAAACAAATAAAATTTCATACCAAAACATGGATAAATGATATGCTCCAACAATACCAATTAGTCCCATAGAAACAAGAAATTGCCAGAATGCTCTTAAATTGGTTTTACCTACACAACATCCTAACCAACTACAATGGTGGTCTCGTTCTAAAGTACATTTATTACAAATCACACAATGATAAGCTCGTGGAGGAAGAAAATGACTACAATAAATACAATAGCGTGCAGGATAATTTGTTTCTATAAGTTTTTTGTTATATTTTAGAGCGAGTTGAGCACGTTCAATAGCCTGTGATTTTTCTTCTTCTGAACAACTTGGGATATATCCACCATTATAATAGGATGGTTTAATTGGTAAAAACAATCTAAATAATGAATTGGTTATTACTCCAATTGTAAAAATCAACAGAAATGGATGTGATTGGATCCAATTCATTTTAATATAAAAACAATAAAAAAAGAGACTAGTACTAAACATGATTAACAATGCTCCATAAATAAGTATATATTTCTGGTATTTTTCAATCATTATTTTACCATCCCGTTCAGTTTGAATCATTTTGTTAGACATGTCATGGAGACGGTTGTAGTAAGGAGGTGTTGGCAAGTTTGGTTGATTTGAAATGTCTACCTCCATTAAATTTTTGAGATTAACTTTTATTTGAATGAATTTTAGTAGTTCCACTAAAAGAGAATGAAGTTGTCATTAACAGTGATAGAAAGAGAAGTGAAAGAAAAAGCTAGTTCTATAGAAAAAAAAAGAAATTGAAAGTTAAATACGAAAATGATGTATTATTCATTGAATTTCGAAGAAGAAAAAAATAGAAGCACATTAAGAGAAGTATTAGTTCTTAATCTGAAAATAAATTAGTTACAATAGACATACAATGAGTTCATTACTTAATTTTTTTAAACAACCTAATGACATAGCTATATTTCTTAATCAACCATTTCTTCAATATGAAAATATTTTTGAAGATTTTACAATTCACAAACCAGTAATTGAGAAGATTACTGAAAGGGATATCCTTAATATTCCTGATCCAACACCAACTCAACTCTGTTTGTCTTTTTTTAATTAAAGTATCAAAAACTAGACAATATTAATCAAAGAAAAATGTAATTAACTAATACAATAGTAGCAATTATTCCTGTACCAGAAATTATTTATTATCATATTGTAACAGCTATTTCAACATTTCCATTATTAAATGAAATTCTTCTTACTATTGTTCCACAACAAATGAATGAAATGGTATTTTGGTATAAATACTTTAGTTTTTTATTTAAGTCAGAAAACCAAAATTCACTTCTTGATGATTTAGCACAAGAACGAAATGGAATTTATTTAACATTAACAAGTGAAACAACTAAAGAAATTTATTTGTCTTATATGAAAAATTGTTTTATTGGACAACGAGGGATGTTATTAATGAAATATATTCAAATTATTAATCAAACAACAAATGGAATGTTAGACAAAACATTTTATAAATTCACAGAGAGATTAGAAGGTTTACCAAAAAATCAAAGTGAAATTAAATTTAGATATGAATTTCTTATAACAATATTTGGAGAAATATTTAGACGATGTAAATGTTTATATATTCCATATGTTGGTAATTTGGTATTAGAAGCTGTTCAATTATTTGATATTAATGATGCATTTTATTGTGTTATGGAATTTGTCATTAAAGCACAATGCTGTGGACATTTTTATTCATCACAATATGGATTAGAAAATTTAGTTGAATATATTTATTGTATATTAAAAACAACATACCCAGCATTAGATAACAGTTTGTTTTTTTTTATATTTTTTAATGCACTTTAATTTTGAAAGTTTAAAAATACAAATTTATTATTAGAGTATCGACAAAGTATTAACCATTTCATTACTGTTTCATTAAAAAGTTTAACACTAAAATTAATTGAACCTTTAGAAGTAATTAAAAGAAAAGCAATTGTTGAAATAATATTAAAAGATGGAAAAATAGCAGTGATTAAATTGTTTCTTGTTTTATTTAAATCTTTACATAAAATTGATTTTACTAATTTGATAAATTCAATAAAACAAATCGTTAGTTCTTATCTTTCTGATGACTCGCCAAACTCTTTATTGGCTGAAGTATTAAACTATGAATTAAATCCATTTCTTTTAACAAATCATATTTTTAATACACTCCAATTTCCACCAAACAAAGAAATGCAAAGAAGAATAATAAATAAAGAACAATTACAAGGAATTTCTGATATTGTAAATGAAGATGAATTTCTTGAAATATATACTATGCTCCCCCCTCGATTACAAATGCTTATTCCTGAACAAATTTTTACTTCAAGCATTGATGGTTTAAGTTTAAAAACATTATATTCAAAGTGTATGTACCATTCTTTGTTACTTATTATTTGTAGAAGAGGTAGTTATATATTTGGTGTATTTGTTGCTGAATCATTTGAAATGAAGAAAGACTTTTATGGTAATAGTGAAACTTTTTTGTTTACAATAAAACCAAAGTCAAGAAAATACTCTCACATTCAAAACAGTAATCATTTTATTATAAACTCAACACCAGAAGCATTAAGTTTTGGAGGAGGAACGTTTGTTATTATTTTTATTTTGTTTAATAAAGAAAGCAATATTTAATCATTGTTAAGTGGACATCCATCTCTTTCATTTGACTGTTATTTAAATGTTATAAGTCAAACATCACCAACATTTAATAATCCACCATTAGTACCAAGATCACTTGCAAGTCGTTGTGATAGAGTTGAAGTGTACTCATTCTGTTAAAGCATTATATGTAATAAAAGGAACAAAAAAAAAATAAGTTGTGATAAAATGATTACAATTACAATTTTGTTTTAGTGCTTCCTTTTTAATTAATCTTTCTTAAAAATAAGGATTCTATTTGTTTATTTTGATGTACTTAAAAATCCTTTTCTTCTTCTTAGAATAAAGAAGCAAATAAATTTCCATCAATCCTGTGTTTATACATATGAGACATAAATGTGTTTGTTGTTAATGGTTTTGTTAATAAAGTAAAAGGATTTTTCAATTTTTGTTGTAGAATATTTGGATCCTTTTCATTTAAAATTCCTTCTTCAATAAAATGAAAGATTGTATCTGAAACAGAAAACATTGCTGTAAATCCTTCTAATAAAATAACATCAAATACTCGTATTGCTAATTCGAATTTAAGTGAGTGAATAAACCAAAGATAATTCCATTCAAACATAAAAAAAGGGAGTGATTGGTCCATAATACCACATTGTCTGAACTTTTCTGCAATTTTTGGATGTCTAGTATCTAATAACTTTTTTGTAACAATCCAACATTTTTTAATAAAATTAAAGTCTTGAAACATTTCTTTTAAACGATATTTTGATGTAAATAATTTTAATGTTCCAGCAAAAGCACTAAGTTCGTCTAAAAAAATACAAAGAACAGAAGGGGCACATGATATTCCTTGGACATAATCAAAAGAAATGTCATGCAAAGAAATTGCATGCATAACATAAAATAATTCTTTTTGACCACCAGAATAACGAACATGAAATTTATAATGGAATTGAAAACTTCTATTAACGTCTAAGTCTAATTGTTTATCATGAGGAGACCTTGAATATATTTGTGTATTTCTTTTAAATTCTTCTTTTAATTCTTGACTAATTTCTTCTATTCCTAATATCCTTTTCCAATATAAAATTCTATAATCATCAGGAACTCCTTTATATACTCGCTCTTGTAATTTAACAGGAATATTTTCATCCCAGTTTTTGTCGAGCATTCTTTCCCATTTTCTATTTCTTTCTTTTTGTTGATTTATTTTTTTATGTGAATATTTTTTTACAATAAATAATTCTCCTTTTTCTCCTTCTACTTCAAAAAATCCATATCTATTAACATTACTCGGTTTTTCTACAACTTCATTACTATAATCATATAATAACTTGACGTCAACTCTTGAATCAATGTCTAATATATAATTTGCTAATTGTTCTAATTTATTCATAATAGCATATTCTACTGGCATTTTTCCTGTATTGTCTTTTACTCGTGTTAATGGATGACAGTCCATAGTTCGTGCAATTAATAATAAGTTTTCATTCACAAGTTTGTTTAAACAAAGATAATGTAGACAATTCCTTCCAACTTTATCGACTACATTAATTAAGTAATTTTTTTTAAATAAAATTTATCATTTTAAACTATATTCTTATGTAGTGAAAACAAACTTGACGCAGTGTTTGCTTTGTGCTGTATTAATAATTGAACAATAGATAAATTATTATTTTGACATGCCAACATTAAAGGAGTTGCACCAAACTTGTTTTTACTGTCGACACTAATACCTTTATTGATTAATTCGAGTATCTTATTTCTGTCATTCATTACATGAAAAATGTCATTATTTTCGTTAATTCCATCTGAGCTGTGACAGGATTGCTTGTCACTCATTTCTCTCCTCAAAAATGAGATTTAGATTGCTTTCTTAAAAAAAAAAAGAGAAAACTAAAAATAATGATTAACTTGTTCAATTCAAGTTAATTTTCTATCTAGTTTTGGTGTAACTTTTTCTAACTTTCTATTAGTTTTTTATAACTTGTTTTTATTATATGACTATTTTTGGAGAAAATATTCCAAGTATTTCTTTCTTGTTATTGATATTTTATGGAAATTTTCGGGGAAATATTTTGTTTATTCTTAGTTATTCTTAAAGTAACGAATATAATGTTATATACAACGATTAACCAGCGTTGATTTCTGAAAGGAAAAAGGGTAAAAATAAATTCATTTTGTTTCACATTCAATTTCTATTATGAATGAATATTTTATAATATTTAATAGATAATATATAGTAAAATCGTTAATAATTGTATCTTAAAATAAAAATAAAATCAGTTTTATGACACAAAAAATTAGTTAGAGTTTTATTAATTTAACTAATGAGATTATTCTATTCTTAATCTCTTCAGAAATAGCTGGTTTACTTGCTAACCAATTTTCTGCTTTTTTAACAACTAATTTCCATTCAACTTTATTTTCAGAGAACCTTTCTTTTAATAAATGAATAACAAAAAATGTTTGAATAACATCATTGTCAATACCATTGATTTGAATCGTAATAATTTCTTTAATTATTTCTTCTACACCAACAAACTCCCCATTTGCTTTTTGACACTCAATAATTTTTTCAAACTTTACTTCTTTATCAATAGTATCTTGGAAAAATTCTTTTTTTTCTTCACTACCCGGATTTGAACATTTACCATCTGATGTTAAATTCATCATTGATTGTACTGGCTGGGTGTTTGTCATATTTGTAGGGATTAAATCATCATTATAATAATCTATATCTAAAAAATCATAACAACTTTCACATTCTTCCTCATAATCCATATCTGAAATTTCTAAATCAACATCTTCCATGACATTAAGTCCAAAATTAGAATAAGCTGAGACTGGATGAAGAAGGTTCTGGTTATGGCACATCTCATTTAAGTTAATATTCTTGATAAAGTCAACTTCTTTTTTGGTTGTTTTGTCAACAGCAATAAATGCTGTTTCTTTACAAAGAACATGATATTTCATTGATAATTTTTTTGCTTCTTCTTTTTTGTTTTCACTTTCTAATTTTCTAATTTGATTAAGTGCCATTAATTGATGAACAATAATTCCTTTGGTTATGTTAATGCTTTTTGTATTCTTGTATGTGACTTCTTTTTCTCCACATCTTCCTTTTATTTCACTTTCGATATTTTGTCCTTCTTTAATTTCTTCGTTGCATTGAATATAACATGTTGTCATTCCATAGAAATTACTAATTTCTTTTGGTGTTATCTCTCCTTTAATATTCCATTCAACTGTACATTCATTAATAGATGGAATGAGAATACGCTCAGTGATTTTTGAAACTTCTTTCTTCAATACATTTGGGTTTTTAGAAATGGCTGAAATTCCATTACCAATTCGACCTATATTTCTAATTAATTCTACATCACAACTTCTTCCTAATCCAACTCCATGTAATGAATTCTTTTTTGAAAGGGTTCTAATGTATTCAATTGTACTTGTCTTATTATTGACATATCCATCAGTTAATAAAATTATATGACACTTCTCCGTATTATTGTCAATCAATGCTTTCAATGGTGCATGCATATTTGTTCCTCCATAATTTGCTTCAAATTGTGAAACAGTTTCTGATGCAAACTTTAATGTATCTTCATTATATTCTGTCATTTCTTTAAACATAAAGTCATATGTACTTCCAAATGAAATAATCTGAAATTTGGAGTTTAGTGGTAATTGTCTTAAGAATAATTGTAACATATTTCTTAATGCTTTGATTCCTTCTCCATACATACTTCCACTTCTATCACAAATGAAGACAATATTAATATTTCCTTCTTTTTCTTTATTGATGAATGTGGATGAAATGACAACTTCATCTGTATCTTCGTCTTTCATTCCAAGTATTAAATCCCCATTTAATGGAATATTAACTTCCTCTTCTCCACTTAATACCCCTTTAAAACTGAATGTTGAACTTCCTGTAACTTTGATTGAATATGGGATTTGTTGTTTTTCATCTGACTCAATCAAGTTAGGAATCTTCATTACTAACTCGTCATCTTGAATCTCCATATGTGTAAGATATTCAATACTAAATGTTACTTCACTATGTTTATTGATTAGTCCAAGTGTAATACTGAATGTTGTATCATCAACTTGTTCCATTACAGCTGAACTATATCCATTTGTTGTTGCATCACTTTGTTCAATTTTAGCTTGTTCTTTTTCTTTTAGTTCTGACTCAAAATCTCCATTAGCTGTTTTGAATGAATATCCAGTAACAGCTGATTCATCATCCAATGTCATAGTGATACTAACATTACAATCATCATTAGAATCATTCAGTATTGAGTGAATGGATTTAACTTTAGCATTGTTACCAACAGTCTCTACTTCAAAATTAACTTCAGTCAGTCGAACTTGTTTTTCTTGAGAAATAACTCTTCCAAAAAATAACATTGATTTGATGGATATAAGTTCTGGAATTTGTCATTTTATATCAGTTTCAATGATGTTTTTAATAATGAAAAAATCGTTTTGAGGTTTAACAAAAGGAAATTAAATAAGATAATACTTCAATTAAACAAAATAACAACAAATCAAAATCAAAAACTCATATAATTTATATTATTTTTGAAACCACAAACTTTTTTATTTTACTAGGAAATTTGAAGTTGAGACATCAGAGACATTTAACAAACATTAAAATGAATCTATGCTTTGAATTGAACTTTATCTTCTGATTATATCTCTGCCATTGGTTGGAGAATATTCTAATCAATAATGCAATAATATCAGTGATTATTATTTGTGATGACGTAATATCATTTTATTATAATAGAAGAGTAAAAATTTGTAAAGATAGTATTAATATTTTCTTATTATGATGTAAGTACATTTGATAATATGGTACTGTCGAAGAAAAGGAATTGAATGTTGATGATAAATGAAATTAGTCATAATTTAGAGTGATAATGTTTTATTTTTTGATTAAAAAATAAGAAAATAAAGAATGAAGAATTTTAGTATATATTAAAATAAAAACCATATAACAACATTATTGATTTTATTTAATAGATTTTATGATATTTATTTATACATTCTACAAAGTAATTGTTTTTATTTTTTTTTAACTAATCACTTGAACTAGTTGTACTTAATATACAAAGTAGTTTTAATGGATTACTGATTTATTTTGAATGAAAATCATTTTTAAAAACAAAAAAAGATTAAATGGATATACTAATTTTTTAAAATTCCTCATCTTGTGGAGTTGTTAAATTTATTGTTAAATTCACTTCTATTAAAAATAACATTTTTTTTTAATAATAAAAAACAAAATAGAATAATGTTAATAATAACAATAATATTATTGTTTTTTAAAAACAAAAGGGATTGTACTATCTTTAAAAAATTAGTTACATGGACTTTAGTGATGGAATAGATGAAGTTATTGAGATTATTGAGTCAAATAATGATTGGATAGATATTTATAGTAGTGACACAAATTGTTATTCAAAAAATGAATATAAAAATACCAAATACTTCATTATTCGAAGTAAAATTATAATGAATATACGAAGCGAACAATTATTTGAATTAATTAGTGATCCAATGAATCAAAGCCTTTATGACTCGAGTGTTAATTATTCAAGAAATGAAGGAAATAATGAATATTGTATTGATTTATCACTTCCAGTACAATTTTGTCTTCCAAAAGTATTTAAATTAACAAATATGATAACAGACACAATGCAAATAAGTATTCGGTATTATTTATCCAATGGGATATTAAAAAGAACAATATTTGCAGTAAAAAAAAGAAATGAAGGAAGTGAATTTATTATTATTGAAGAATTTAAAGAAAAAACAGTAGAAGAGAAAACAATTCCTTTTTTAAATACCATTCTAATGAAAAAACAAAATGATAATATCAATGAATATTTTAATAGAAATATTGACTCAAAAAGAATATATGAAATGGAAAGAAATTTATTTAATACAATGACACAAAAAGAGAAAGAATATAAAATTATTTATCATGAAAATAAAAAAGTTAGAGTTAAAATTAATATTGAATGTACTCAATTTTATGTTCAAGGAGAAGTTATTTCTAAAAGTAGAATTATAGATATTATGACTCAATTTGCACATCCAGAAAATTGGGATTTTATTTTTCCTATTACAGTTTTAATTAAAAATAATGATAGAATAAGAACGTATCATAGAGAAACATTATTTTTTGGTGATAAAGTTACTATTGATCAAAGTATTAGTTATAGAATTGGTGATAGTTTTGGAATAATCTCTTTTCAAACAGAACCAAAATTATGTCAATATGAACATTTTAATCAATGTAATATTACAGGTGGAGCATTTATAACATCTATTTCAAATATTCAAAGAATACAATATGGATATTTATTTACATTACAATGTTTAAATAATATTAGTATTAATGAAAGAAAAAAAATTATTTATAATTTAACTGTTATGAACCTTGCAATTCATGCATTCTTTTCACAACCTTGTTTAAATTTATTATTTATTCAAAATAAACTTCTTAATAGAAATGAAATGGCAAATCAATTATTAGCAAATGTTTATATGTTTTCAAAAATTAAAGACAAAGAAACAACCGTATCATCAATAATATCACATGCTCCTATATTATTTTGTTCAAATAAAACAGTTCTTAAAGTATTTTGGTTTCTTGGTCCAAGGGATCTTTTTGTTCTTCCATTTGTTTGTAGAAAATTTCGTGCTGCATTAACATCTGAAGTATCAAACCAAATTTATAAAAAAATATATGAACAATATATAAATAAACATACATTCGATAAACGATATCCAAATAAAGAATTAACGTCTCATCTTTATCGAAGTGAATTTTTATATTTTTGTAAGAGAGATAGAAATTGTGGTAAAACACGTGGAAAGTTATTTTCATTACAACAACCTATTGATAATGTTATTGTTATGAATAATGGTATTATAGCTTCTAATGGAAAAAAATTAATGAAAATAGACTTCAATGGAAAAATGAGTAGAATGCAGAGTTATGGAAATATAGTTAGTATGAAAAGAGGAGTTGATGAAGATACATTATATGTTTATTACAAAACAGGAGGAATTAGAAAATATGTAAATTTTGAAGAAACAACAAAAATGACAAAAATAGGAGAAGAACATGGAAAGATTCAATTTGGGTTTAATGGAAGTACTATTTTTCATATTGGAAATGAAATTATTCAATATGAATGTCAAACTGGAAATGAACTTTGGAGAAGTGATATACAAAATAATATTTCATGTGTTTATGATAATGAAAATATAATTATTATTGGTAAAGAAAATGGTAGAATAGAAATTTTAGATAAAAGAGAAAATAAAACTTGTTTTAATTTTGTTAGTCATATTGGTGGTGTTATAGATATTCAAGGATTTGACAATCATTTCATTTCAGTTGGAAATGATAATATTATTAGAATGTGGGATATGAGAATAAATGAAAGAGAATATGACAGAAGACCTCATACAGGTCAAATTAAAGGATTTGAATTATTTAATAGAAAAATTATTTCTTATTCAAGTGAAAAAGATGTTGTTCAAACTTGGATTGTTAATAATCAAATGAAATTACCACAAACATTATTTAAAACTGAAAATAAAATAAAAGGTTTTTCTTGTAATGATAGATATATTATTATTTCTCAACCTTATGGAAATCTCTTAATTCATGACTTTGAACAATAATTCAATGTTTATATTAATTCTTTTTTTTTTTAATTTTGTTCTTGTTATATATAACGATTTATTCTATTTTTTAAATTTAGATAGAAGGAACAAAACAATTTTTTCATTTCAAACCATTTTTTTCCTTTCTTTCACATTTCGTTTGGATACAAATAATAACGATAATAATTCTATAATATTTTTAATTATTTTTATTAATATTCAAACAAAACAAAAAACACGTTGTTAATCTCACAAAATAATCCAAAAATAGAAAATATTTTCCATTTCTATTTTTGTCTATGTATTTTTCTGAAAAAACAGAAGAAGGTTAATAATAAAAGTAAAACTGAAAAGATATAAGGAACAAAATAATTAACGAGATTCTATCCTATTATTACCTTTTAATTTTTCATATTATCATTTCAGAGATATAAAAAGAATGAAAGGAAAGAACTTTTATTGTTTAATGCAATCAATACCAATGAATCAATACTGTAATTCAAAAATATTTCCTTCTTTTGATCCTATTGATTCAACACCTATAGTCGATGAAAATGAACCATATCATTTAAAACTTTGCTTCTGTCCATTATGCCAAAAAGGTATAAGTGTATTATTAAAAGAAAGGTCAAGAAATGTTATTTCTTGGCAATATATTTGTCGAGTTATCTTCTATTGTTTATCTGTAATTCATAAAAAAAATGGATATTTCTCATTAAAATATGATGTTCATTGGTTTATTGTTGATCATTGGTACCTTTTTTCTCAATTGGGTCAATTTAGAACCAACCCAAATAAATGGAAAAAAGCTATTTTAGATGCTATGATCCATTGTAATTTATTTGAGTCTGGTAAATCTACTGTTAATAAAACTGGTGTTTGGAAATTACATAAATATGAAGCTCCATGGGAATGTACAGATTCAAATTGTTTTGAAATTAGTTCAACACAAAATGAAACTCCTTTTTCTTGTGAATATTCCCAAGATAATATTACTATTAAATCTAAAGATGAGAAGAAATTTGCTTTACCTTCTCTTTCATCTTCTTATAAATATTGTATGAATGACATTGAATCTTCTTTTACTTTATTACCAAATCTATCTGAAGGTTTAATTGAGAATATTAAATTAGAAAATACTGATAGTTTTATTCAAACCAATATGCAAAAGATATTTAATTAATAGCTATTACTTATTTCTTATTGATTGTTGTATTCTCAAAACCATTTTTTACATCTTTCCTAATAACTTGTAAATAAGTCTTTTATTAAATTGTTTAAAGGATTTTTCTTTTTTTTTAATTAAGTAAAAAAAAAATAAAAATAGTATTTATACAAAACTGAAATTTTATTCAATTACAAGGTGAGACAATCTTATTTAACATGATCAAATCTTGTTCGTTTAATGTTTCAAATTTAATTTCTATTTCACCTTCGTCTTTGTCTATTTTTAGATATTTTAATACTTCTTCTTGTTTAGCTCCTTCAACTTCCTCAAGTCTTTTACTTAACTCAATTTTTTCTTCAAATGAAAGTGGTATAACTCGTTCTTCTTCCATTTTTAGAGGAAGAATTCCTTGTTCTTCTTTTAGTTCTTCAATACTTTGTTTAAAGTCCATCCATTCTCTTTGGTCATTCCAATAATTATGTTCATCCTGATTAAAGATAACTTTGATAGACCTTCTGCAATCATATATCTCTTTAATTTGATCATCAAAATATCTCAATAATGTTGATGCAAATATATGAATTGTATTTCTTGGTGGATTATATTTCATAGCATTTTTAAAAACTAACCGTACATCATTAGCAAAATCATCAATATGTTCATAAATTCCATACCTAAATTTCTTTGTAATAGTATTTAAATCCATTGGATGTGTAATAACAACATAATAATCTGGTAAATTTTGTGCAATTGGATCAACTGGTGTTAAAAAAGGACTTGCTTCTGGTAAGAGTTTTAGGTGATTTAATATTTGTCTACATGGAAGAACTTCTTGGGATATTGGCTTTTTAATATTTGGTAACCGTTCTGGTTTATAAACAGGAATTCCTTGAGCATTCAGAGGCGTTGGTGTAGTAAGAAGAGTACTTTGTGATGTATTTTGTAAGACAGTAATTGGTTGTGTTTTTGGTTTTCTTCCTCTTCTTTTTATACCTTTTATGTCTTGAAGATTTTCGAAATTAGTAAGTTGTTCATCAATTCCTAATAATGCTTTATCAAGGTTTAAAGTTACTGTCATTTCTTCATTACCTAGACCTTTTCTTTTCTTAACCTTTTTTTCTTTTTTATCTTCTTGCACTTCAGAAATCTTACTCTTTTTTTGAACTTTTCTTTTTGAACTTTCGTTTTCAAATGTTTTAATTTTTTTAGAATCAACTGAATCATTTCCATCTAACTTTGGAGAAACTCTAATAACTTCTTCAGACACATTTAATGTTTCTTTCTTTTCTACATCATCACTTTTTTCAACAATCATTCTTTTTCTATTTCTTCTTTGTCTTACACTTTCTTTTTTTGCTACTTTTTCTACTTTTTTTCTTTCTTCTAAATGTCCAGGAAGTGCACGAATCTCATAGTGGTACTTCTTTTCTTGATTTTGTTTTAAAAAATATCCTCTATTCGATAATGCACTACACATGGCACACCCCCTCAATTTGTTAATATCAGTTTCAACTGCAAATACATCATCCATGTCTAATTCTTCAAGTTTGGATGTATCAACCATAACTATGGCTTTCTTTTTATTTGGTTTAGGCATTGTTAGTCGTGAGTGTCTAGTATGGCCTTGCATTCTTTCTAACATTTAATAGTTAAAACCCTTCACATTGCCTATTCTTTTTCTTTGAATCTAGTTATTCTATTTTTATGTCATATTTTTCTAGTTTCTTTGACTAATTCTATTTCTTTTCTAATTTTTTTTAATTTTTTACTATTCTTATTTCAAGTTCTTTTTTCCAAGTTGTAATTTTTTCGTTTCTCATTTTAATTTTTGATTTTTACTTTTTGTTTCATATTTTTGTCTTTTTTCTTTATTTATTCTAAAATAGATTCAATCCTTGAATCATATTTTTCTGAATAAATTTTCTCATTCTTTCTGATAACAGAATTTTGTTATTATAATATAAAGTCATTTTCAGAACAATTACTAATGTCTTGTATATTTCTTTACCTCTTTTTTTTAATAACTAGGATAAGACTATATTTAAAGTAATAGTAATAAGACTCTAACTAAGACCCTATCTTTTTTTTAACAATTTAGGTTAAAGAATAAATATTTCTCTTCTGTTTAATACGTACATTTCTAATATCTTTTTAATGTCCCCATTCTATAATTTTTTCCTTTATTTTTTTTTTCTTATTGTTGTTCGTTCATGCAACCAAGGTTTGGAATTTTGAGATGGCACTAAATTATATAAGTAGTAGTTATTTTCTTTATTTTAACCCAATAACATATAATTTCTTACAAAACAAAATCATCTTACCGTTTAGAAAGGTTTCTTTACCCAAGAATTAAACATATAACTTTATTGTTTTTTTTTTGTTTCGTTAATTGTATATTCTTTTCTTTAATAATAAAATTCTTATAAGATTTTGTTTCATTTATCCTTGATGAGAATGAATCTTTATTCATGAAAAGTTATTTATTTGACTCTCAAAGTTTTAGTCATACTTCTCTTTTTAAAAAATAAATTTTATTCATATAAATTCTATATGTTAATGAGTTTAGAAAGTTATGTTCTTTTTTGGCATTATTTGTGAGTATGTTTGAGGTGTTTTATTATTTGATTATTTTTTATTCAAATGTTAGAATTTTTAGTTCATATTATTTATACCAAAACGTCAATCTTTTTAAAATAGCAAAAACTTCTAAAATAATAAAAAGAAATGTGTTATATAAAACATAATATTTAATACAGAGTTTTCTGTGAGATTAAAGGTTGAGAATATCTAATGAAGTAATTTAACCAAGAACTAATACAAAGTAATGAAGTGTTTAGTGTCAATGGATTAGAAGAGAGTTTAAAGTGTTCATTTATAAATTCAGTCATATTTATAACATCATCCCAAATTGAAGCAGAATAAAGACTTGCTTTAATTTCTTTACGATCTTTTTCACAGTTAAAAGCAAATGTTCCATACTTAAAAGTAAATAATTCATCAGCAAGAAATTGAAGAAGTTTATCATTAAATTCAAATGAGTATGGATTTTGTTTTAATAATACATGAACACAATGAAGAAATTGAAGAAAAATTGGAGATGTATTTGTTGTATCATGTGTGATTCCACTTCTTGTTTGAAATTGATGACCAAAAGATAACCAATCTTTTTCAATCAATACAGCAAATCCTGAAATGGTTCTATAAAATGGATCAAGCATTAGTTCAACTAAACTACATATTTGACTTGTTCTATCCCATCCATCAGAGCAATGAACTAAAACTGATTTGTTTTCTAACATATTCGAAACAGTTTGTGTTGATTGTAATAATATTTGTATATATTTTATCCATTCACTTTTATATATTATAGGTAATATCGACATCGTTTCGTCTTGTGTTAAAAAAATATCATAGCACTCATTAAATGCTTCTTTAACACGATGGATATTTGGAATATTAAGAAATTCTATTGAACAAAAAGTATATTCTGATATTGATTCAAACCCAGCTTGTTTAAATGCTTTATTTCCTAATGCAGAGTAATAATCTCTACAATCATATATTTGAATATAACTACCTCCACCTTCTCTATACAATAATGTAACATCTTCATCTGATTTTCCTGTAAAACCTGTTTTAGGTTGACTGGATCGAAGTAAAACTTTTCTTGTTTGTGGATGAATCCAAGTTAATACTGGTATTCTTCCATTAGTTCTAAATTCAGAAGATGCCATTAATGTACTTTTATGAATATCCATTGGAACTATTAACTGAGTTGGGTATGTGTTGCATATTTCGTACTTACTATTATATTCACATACCTTCCATTCTCCCTCTAGTCTCATCCTTGAAAATTCATTATAAATATTATACGAACTCCAACCATGTTTTCCACCAACTCCTCTCATCACAAAATCAATTGGACAATACGTCTCAATCATTTGTCGGATCATTTGAACAAATGAAGTACATGGAGTACTTGGCTCATATGCTGATAATGTAATAATTTGACAGTCTTTAAAATAGAATGTATAACAAACTCCATTATGTTCGGTGATTTTAATTTTTAATAAACAAAAGAATGGAAATGTCATACATTCTTCTGTTGAATGAAAATATAAGATAAGTCTATGGTTAGTAATATAAATAGACGTGTGTATTTTTTCAAAGATAAATCCTTTGTGTTCATTTTTAATTATTTCTCCTTCTAATAAAGGTAAATGAATTATTTTTTCTACAGTTGTTGATGGAGAATAATTTGTTGATGGATTAAAATGTTCTTCAATAGACTTAGTTAAAATTTGGACTCGTTGATTAGGTTCATATGAATTATTTTGTGAATTCAATCTTGTCACTGAGTTATTTATGAAGTTATTTGTTTCAGTGCAATAATAATCATCAATAGGAAATTGTAAAGGATCATTCATTATTTATTATGGACTATCTTTTTAAGTTCTTTTGATTTTTAGTTTTTATTATTTACTTCAAATCATCTCTATGGAAACTATAATTTTAATTAAATTTGATGTTATTATCATCTTTGAGTAATTCTCTTTCTATTTTTGATGTCTAAAATTATCATTTAAGTAATGACTAGATGGAATGAAGTACATATGAATTAGATTAAATTCTTTTAGTATTTAAATTAAATATCCTTTTAATTAGTAATAATACAAGAGTATTTGTAAAATTTAGAATAAACACAAACACATTTTTGATGTATTGCTAACTTTTGATATTTTTTTATAATCAAACATCAAACTTATTTTGTTATTTTAAAAAGACATAATTAACAGAGTCATGTCTTTCTTTTTTTTTTCTTTATTTAATTTAAAAGTGTCTTATCACTTTATCATGAAGTATAACAAACATTTTCCTAAATAGTATGTCAAGTATATTTATGAACTATTTGATCAACCTATCCATTTTCTGTAAACTCTATTATTATTAACTCTGTTTGTTCAGTTGTTATAATAACAACATTTTGGAAAAGTTAACTTGGTTTATTACTCATTCTATAAGAAGCAATAAAAAATGATTTTTCAGTCATTTGTAAAATCCAAATCTTATTTTATTTATTAAAAAGTCACACTAAGATTCGTTTTGAATGTTTAAAATAGTAATATTATATACAAAAGAGAATGTATTATTATTTACTTTGGAAATTATTTCAGAGAGAAGAACATTAGATTAACAAAAATAATTTCTTCTTATTACCTATTCATACAAATAAACTTTTTAATAGGAAATTTTTAGAGAATAAAACAAAAAAAATAATTAATTTTTGTTATTTTTTTCTCTTTTTGAAGCATTTATTTAAGTGAGTGAAAAAGTGAAAAAAAGACAACTTAAATTGAACAAGATTGAAATGTTCATCGAGGAAGTACTAATTGATGGGTTTAAATCTTATGCTAGAAAAACAACAATAGGGAAATTTGATAGTAAGTTTAATGCTATTACTGGATTAAATGGTTCAGGAAAATCAAATATATTAGACGCTATTTGTTTTGTAATGGGTATTCAGAATTTATCATTAGTTCGTGTACAAACCTTACAAGAATTAATATATAAGTCTGGACAATGTGGTGTCACAAAAGCCACTGTTACAATTGTTTTTAATAATAATGACAAAGCAAATAGTCCTACGGGTTATGAAGGGTATGATCAAATCACTGTTGCAAGACAAATTACTGTTACAGGAAAAAATAAGTATATGTTAAATGGAAAAGTATTACCACAATCCCATATTTTAACATTTTTCAGAGCAATTGGATTGAATGTCAACAATCCTCACTTTCTTATAATGCAGGGAAAAGTTGTTAAAGTACTTAACATGAAACCGATGGAAATCTTAGCCATGGTGGAAGAAGTCACTGGAACTAAAATGTATGAGACAAAACGAGCAGAAGCAGTAAAGGTTTTAGAAAAAAAAGATTCTAAATTAAAGGAAATAGATGACATCCTCAGAGAAGAAATCACTCCATCAAGAGAAAAATTGAAGAAAGATGCAGAAGCTTTAGTAAACTTAAGAAATAAGAAAACAGCCTCTGAGAATTTGGAAATGAAGATTCATGCCTTTGATTATTATCGAGCAGAAAAAAAATTTAAAGACTTAAATGAAGAAATCAAAATTTTAGAGGGTGAAATTTCAAACAATGAAAAAATAATTGAAAAGATGAGAGATGAAATTGATGGAATGGCTGAAGATTTAGGAGAACAACTTTTGAATACTGATGAAAAGGAAAAAGAGGCAACAAAAATTGATGAAGAAATTGAAGTCATGAAAACAAGAAATGACGCTAGTAAAGAACGAGAAAAAAGCCTCAATAACAAAATTGAAAAAATTAAGAGAGATATTAAAAGAGTTGAAGAAGATGAAGGAGAAAATGATGAACGATTAATTAGAGAAAAGGAATGGATAGAAAAGAGGGTTGAAGAATTAGAACTAAGACTAGGAAAAATGAATGGATTAAGTCAATCAGAAGATGTCATTGGAGGAATTACTATTGCAATGAAAAAGGTTCGTAAAGAATGTGAAGATCTCATTCGACAAAAACAAAAACCAATTCCAGGCAAAGTAAATAAAGAAGAAGTTGAATCTACAATAAAAGAAATTCTTAATGAAGAAAAAAATTTAGAGTACCAATGCAATAATTGGAATGGTTCAAATGAAGTTGAATCTGAATTATATGATTTGGAACGAGACCTTGAGGCAAAAAGAAGAAAATTTGAAGAGGCAAACAGAAAAATGAATTTCAGTTTTAGGTATTCTCTACCAAGTGCTGACTTTGATAGAAATCGTGTAAAAGGTCTTATAGTCACTTTGTTTACTCCAAAAGAAAATAAGTATTCTACAGCACTTGAGATTGCAGCAGGACCAAAAATTTTTCATGTTGTTGTTGATAGTGATATTACCGCTTCACTATTGGTTGAAAAAAAATGTTTAAAAAAACGAATGACATTCATCCCATTAAATAAGATTGCACCACAAATGCCAAATTTGAATCAAATTAAACAAGCAAAAGAAATTGGAGGAAATAAGATTCAATATGCTTTAGATGTAGTTCAATGTGAACCAGAATTTATTCCAATCATGAAATATGTTTTTGGAAATGTTCTTATTGCAGAGGATGCTGAAACTGCAAAAAAGGTTTGTTTTAACCCAAAGGTCATGATGAAAACAGTTACAGTATCAGGTGATTTGTATGATCCATCTGGTATTTTAACAGGAGGTAGTAAACCTAAGAGTTCAGGCTTTTTGGATGAAATTAGAAGACAAAATGGATTGAAAAGAGAATGGGAAGATTGCCAAAAACTGATAGAAGAAAAGAAAACACAACTCGCTCAATTCCAAGAGATAAAAAGAATAAGAGAAAATTTACAATTTGCAAGAGAACGCAGAAAGAAGGCAGAGTATGAGCTTGAAGAATTAGATAGGATGAATGAAGAAAGAGAAAGAATGATAAAACAAAGAGAAAAATTGGAACGAATGATCCAAGAAAAGGAAAAAGAATTAGCCGACCTTACTAATAGAAAAGAAGAAGCAATAAACGAGAGAAAAAGAATGGAAGGGGGGCAAGGAGAAGCTGTTAAAAAAGAGCTACAAAATAAAATCGAAGAAGAAAAAGGAAAATTAGATAAAATAAGCAAAGAAATTAAAAGAGCAGAAGAACAAACTCGAAAAAGAGAAATTGAAAAGATGAAGATAGAAGATTGGGAAAAGGAGAAGGCAACGCATGAAAAGGAACTAAGTAATATTCTCTTGGAACGTGAGGATATCAAACATGAAATTGAAGTAAAAGAAAAGAGACTTGAACAACTCAAAAGAGAAATTAAAGAAATTAAAATAGCAAATTCAGAGAAAGTTAGGAGAGTAAAAGAAATGAATGAACAAAAACAACTCAAGGGAAAAAAGGTTGGAGAAAAAGAAAATGAGCTTAAAAGAATTACAAAAGAGAAAGAAAAGAAAGAAGAAGAGATAAAAAATATTGGCGAGACAATAAGAGTATTAGAAAAGAAATACCTTTGGATTAAAACGGAGAAAAAACAGTTTAATAAAAAAGGAGGTATTTTTGATTTTAGTACCTTTAATATCAATTCAGCAAGAAAAGAGTTAGCAGAAATAGGTAAAGAACAAATAGAAATTGAAAGAAGTGTAAATAAACAAGTTGTGCTACACCAACAAAAAGTTGAAGATGAATATAAAGACTTAATGACTAGAAAACATATTATTGAAACAGACAAAGACAAAATTGTTAAAGTAATCAATGACTTGGATGAAAAAATGAAAGATGCTATACAAGAGGCATATGAATTTGTCAATGTTAAATTTGGATCGATTTTTAGCTCATTACATCCAGGAGCATCTGCAAAATTAGTTCCTTATGATGGACGTTCTATTTTCAATGGAATAGAAGCACGAGTCAGATTAGGAGATATGTGGAAAGAGTCATTAATAGAATTGTCTGGTGGACAAAAGTCATTATTAGCACTGTCACTTATTCTTGCTATTTTATTGTACAAACCATCACCACTTTATATTCTTGATGAAGTTGATGCTGCTTTGGATGTATCTAATACACAAAATTTTGGAGGTATGTTGAGAGAACATTTTAAAGCATCACAATTTATTGTTGTATCGTTAAAATCTGGAATGTTTGATAATGCTAACATTTTGTTTAATACCAAAGTT